ACCCAGACAGCAGGAGGCGGAGGCACACAGGTATTCTTACACGGTGATAACGTTTCTGTTTCATTTAAATTCTGTTAGCATGCAGTAAGCAGAGAGCTATTATCCAATATCTACTTGAAAAAACTCTCACCCATTTAGAAAATTCCTTACAGTGAACACTTTTCCCCCACCAAAGCCAGATACTTAACTGGCTTTCAGCAGCAACTCAACCTAAAATATGTACCACGAACACCACAAGTCATTTCCATTTGTAAATAGAGTTTATTTGCAGGATCACATTTTCTTTTGCATTTGAAGACTGCTGTGATATACTAAAAGAGGCTTAAAGTCATATGATAAAATTGGAGAGATCAGTAATTTGTAACTGAAGAAGGCAAAGCCTCCAGAAGCCAAATGGAACCACCAGGGAGTCTCCAGGGCTGGCACAGAACACACATTGGAGGAGGCATCAGCCCACTGGGAATAAGCACCATGAAGAGGAGCTGGAAACACACCAGGATAAAGCATGCAGCCACTCACTGTCTACAGTTGCTTTTGCACCCTTCTCCTTTCTTATTTAATAGTATTGGTGGTGGGGGGAAGCCCAAGTACCACCAAGAAGAAACTCCTATACATAAAGATGCTCACATAAACCCCACATTCTCTTTAAAGCCATCACGTACTTGCCCCTCAGAGCCCTAGTGAGAAGCCTGGTGATGCCAGGGACTCTGGAGGCTCACCCATCCAGGGGAATGAACCACACCTGGCTACAGGCACCAGGATGCAGAGGGAACTCAGACTTGGTCCCTGCTCTGGGGGCGGGGGTGTGGTGTGGTGGTCACAGTCCAATGTGGGAGTGGGCAAATCCATCCAGCGGAATCAGTGATCAAAGAGGCGTAAGGAGACGGTTTCTACCTGAGCCCAGGGAGTGGCAGCCAGGTATCTGGGAAGGCTCCTAGGAGGAGCTGCCTCCTCTCCCGGGTCTTCAAGGGAAACTAAAGAGGTAAAAGAGGGCTCCCACAGACTGAGACCCAGAGATACTGTCCCCTGCCACAGTCCACTCATCCGGGTGACTGCTCACCTTCTTCAGTATAGCCTTAAATTAAGGAAATTAAGAATTTCAATAAGATACTGAAATAAAGGAAGGTTTCCTTGATAAAGAAAGGAGATCAAAGGAGGTTTTAAAGAAGAACTGAAGCCTCTATCTATAGCAACTTCTAATGAGGAAATAAAATAATTAGATTCAGCTCTTTCACTAGACTTAATGGATAGAAGACACAGTTTTCCAGGCCCCCTGATTATTATACATGTGACCATGAGCAAATCACCCCTCCCGGCCTCAGTTTCGTCTTCTATAAAATGAAGAGGATGACCACACTGGCCTAAAAGGTTGTTATAATGACAGCACTTGTATCTAATTTAATCCTCAAAAAAATCTTACGAAATAGATTCAACCACCTCCATTTACACAGGAAACTACTCTCAGAGAGGTGACATGACTTGCCCAATGTCAGAGGCTGCAATGGCTCACTCAAGGTCTGCCTGATTCTAAAGACTGCTTTAAGCACCATGCTGAACTACTATAAGGACAGACTAGTGAGTGACAGAAAAGGAAAGACACAGTGTCTGACACTTCACTGGTACTCCATAAAGCCAGTTTAATTTGGGGCCTATTTTGGCTCTGACAATGGGAAATTCCCAAGTTTCTCTCTTAAAGCTGTGGAAAGAGGAAGTTGGTTCATGCTGCATCTCTCTTCTAAGGACCTGGATAGGCTACCCACATATGATCAGTGGGTAAGAGACAAGGTCACTGGCAATGTCTGGCAGAAAAGGAAATTGAGGCTCAGTTTGATGCCAGGATTTATATAGATGCTGGACAAGAATGGAAGTCTTCTAATGTTACATCCTCTCCATAATGTACTCGTGCTTCCTTCTGGTCTGATTCCAACTTCTAGCAGACACTTGGCTGAAGGATGTAGTAGATTGTCAGACAAGAATCCAAACTGGAAAGCTCAAGGACTTTGGCTTGTCATTTTCTTATTTAGGCCAAGATCCAAGCACAAATGTTAGCTCTCAGTCCCTAGGCAAAAACTCTTGTCATAGCAGCTTCATTTAAAAGCTTCTCTCTCATAGTGTATAAAGACAACTGTCATCACCATTCTTAAAATTGAAAATCTAGGTTGTTTTAACAACTATCTCAGAGTGGGCTTTGGAATCAGACGACCTAGAACTCTGGTCCTATCACTTACTGGCTAACTAACTTCGGGCAAGTCACAACCTCTCTCCACAATTAGAATAATATCTTGTAAAGCAGCTGTGAAAATTACAAGAGAGAGCATTTGCAAAATGTCTGGCACATGCCTTACAATAGAAAGCCTGAATAAATAATTAAAAAAACATCGTTTGATGTGGTTGATATAAAAAGTCATGCCCTGTCCCTCCTTGGAAGAAAACTGAAAGGCTTATATCCACCCTTACAACAGTCTTCTCAGTCAAATAGTTTTACTTATAAGGCACACATCCCTTCCGGGAAACCAAAGCACATTTGCTAGGAAGTACCCTGCTTCTAAGTTCCTTGGTCCTACAACACAGACTTACAGACTTGCTCCGCCCCCCACCCTCTCTTCCCCCTCCATTCTGCATCACTGCCTCCTCCATCACACACCTCCTCAAGAGCCCTGACAGTGAGATGATTCCAGACCTCCACACCCGTGCCCATCTGCTCGATCAGCCACAGAACGCTGCTCTTTCATTATTTACTAATTACAGTTAACATTTATTCAGTGTTTATTATGTGCCAAGCACTGTTCTAAGAGCTTTATGATTATTAAAACTCACGGAATCCTCCTATCAACCTTATGAGCGCAGATAAACTACCCAAGAGAGGTTAAGTAAATTGTCCAAGGTCACATAGCCAGTAAGTGGCAGGGTCAGAATGTGAACTGAGGCCCTCTGGCTTGACAGCATACTGTCTTAAACGCTGCATGAGAAATGCTCATAATTTAGTTCACTTCTAACATGGCTTCAAGGATAGCAAGCCTGTCCTGATCAAACATACCAACAGAAGTGAAAAAAATTCTATTTTTGAAATATCTTTCTTTGTCTCAATTCAATTTCTTAATAGGTAGCTACTGAGGAAGAATATTTGGTTCATGATTAGAACTCCTATTTAAAAAAATTTTTTAACCCTTTTCTATAAAAATAATTATTTTTATAATTTATTTCCATTTTACAAAGACTAGTTATAACAGTTATAATATTCCATTGATTCCAAACCATTGACTGCCTTGCATCCTTTGTAAATGCTGGTAAGGGTTTCTTTCACTAACACAGTGATTTTGAGTCAGAGTACAAGTACTGGAAGCTTCCTGCAAATCTTTCAAGTAGGGGACGCTGAGGTTCACAGAGGTCACGCAACTTAACTAAGACTCTGCTCATGTCTAGAAGTGGAATGACAACAAAAGCCCAGATTTCAAAGCTTTATCCACCAATCCTCACAGCTTCTCTTTCCTAATGTAAGAAAGTTGGGCCTTATCTTTTTGGAAAAAAACCCAAAATACTAATTTGAAATCACAGTATACCATGGAATGTTATGCAGTAGTTAAAAAGAAAGAGGTGAATTTATATGTGGAATAATATGTGGATTAATGTGGAATAATCTCTATGATATAGTTAAAACGATAAAAGAAAAACGTAGAACACTGATCTAGTTTGCTATCATCTGTTTTTAAAAAGGGGGGTAACACAAATGTGTGTGTGTATGTATATGAGCGTATATATATGTATATGCGTGGGTATATTCACATACTATACAGAATATGCTTGCATATGCACAGATGATCCCTAGAAAGATGCTGAAGAGAACGACGGTTGTCTCTGGGAATTATGGGAGAGAAGAGAGGCTAAGTTTTCACTAAAAACATTTTGTTACCTGAAATTGTTTTTAACATGTATAAGTGTTACATATCCAAAATATTTACCAAGACCCTAATAAACAACATTTTATCTTATTTGTATAACAAGGAGTCAACATTTTGAAACAGAATCCACTACTGAGTTCCTACATGCAGGACATGACCTACAGCAGGTGATGAGTGAATATGTGCTGAATTAATGAAGGACAACCTGGCACAGGTCGGGGACACCCCCACAGACCTGATGATCTAGCGGGGGAGACAGACATCAAACAATCATCGAGCAAAATAAATAATTATAAACAGAAACAGATGCAATGAAGAAAAAGTAGTATGCTCTATGACAGAATATAACTGGGGACCCAAAAGAGAGATGGATCAAGTTTAGGCAATGGGGGAACAGGGAGAGCATAGGTGGCCTCTTTTTAGAGGTGACATTTAAACTGAGAAGAAGGATGAGAGAGTTAACTAGACTGGGAGAAAGAGTGTTCCACGCAGAAGAAACAGCCTGTGTGAAAGCCCTGAGGCAGGAATGACACGGAGTCAGCTGTCAGAATCGCAGTTTTCAAACGTCACTTGCCCCTTAAGTCCATGGGAGTATAAAGGAGAGAAATGGCACAAATTCACAACTTGGGAACTCCACACAGAGAATGAAAGAAATTAACTGACGTTTTAAGGAGGCCTTCAATATAGCACTAGGAACCGCCCCATTGCCTCCTCAGAGGATGCAAATAACCAGAATTTTGTAAAACTTGATGTCTGAACAGTAACACTGACAGGGCCAGTTGCTTTATAACAAAATAGCCTTTGTCTCAGAAAAGGCCTCATATTTCTAAGCTGTTTCCAGGGCTGCTTCTAACTTAGGAAGATACTGTTTAACAGAAAAATATGAATCACCGAGAGCTACACAGGACGCAGACTCTTTACCAAAAAGCATGAAATCAATCACTTCACTTTGGGATACACTTTTGGCACGAAGGCTGCTGTGGAACACAAAGTCCCTTCAAATCTGCCTAGGGAAGCCAGACCAGTGAGCGTTCCCAAACACATGACTCTCAGCATGTTTGCAACGGACAAAGCAGGCACGGAGCAAGGAGGCCAACGTACTGTTCTCTCGGACCAGGCAGAACTCCCAGGCGCTCTGGCTCTCCAAAGTGCTCTCCAGGTCCACGGCGACATTGGGCTCGCTCTGCTTCTCCAGGCGGTACTGAGGGCCTGGAAGATCAAAGGGGCAGGAGGAGGGGAGCAAGTCTGAAACAGTGAATTTAACATGGAAAAAACACCACATACTGGCGAAAAGCTGATAAAGTATTAGGAAAATGCTGCAGTCTGTCTTGAGGGTCTAGCTAACCAAGATGGAAGAGTCTGGGGGTTTTTTCCCACAAAGTTTCACACACTTGTCTGTTCTATTATCAGGTCTGTTTTTGCTCAGTTCTTCCCAAAACAAGGTGAGAGGTAGATGGCTTTTGAGTGAGACTGACCTGGAGTCACAACACGGCTACGTGGTTTCTCAGATACGAGCAGGTAAGCTACTCTCTCTGAACCTGTCTCCTAATATGTAATGTGGGAATACTTAAACCTTGAAGGATTATTGTGAAGATCAGAGATGATATCGGAAAAATACTTAGTAATGTACCTGCCTCCTAGGAGGCACTCCTACAAAAGTACTTATTATTAATAATCACTATATAATAATGAATAATCAATTATAAGCAGGAATAAGATATGTTTAGAACTCTAATATGATGACAGGCCAAAAAGTTAAAAACATTTTTTAAAAAGCAGATGAAGTTAAAAAATTAAATCTCAGGTTTTTGGGTTACGGTGATAGAATGACAGTGGCTGCTGATTCATGTTTTTGTTGAAACATTTATGAAAACACCAGAGACACAGGGTCAGTAATACTGAAAACCAGGAATATTAGCTACCCTGCGTCACACAGGGGGTTCTGGCAGGTCTTAATAAAACACTGGGGCATTTTACACATTTATTCATGTATTTCTTTGTCAAGCTAAATGACAATCTTGTTCTCAGATAACACCTAACAGGTCCAATGACCAGATGCAAAAGACTGCTCCTGTTGTTAATGGTTATTGAAGGATTAGAGCCGTAAGAAACTGTCTCATTATTTTGACTATGAAAGGCGTGTTTGGTCAGACAGGAGAAGTGTAAGAGATCTGGGGAAAGTATCAGAGGCCTTGCCGGGTTCACAGGTGGAACACATATTTTTAGATATATTCTTCAGTTGTTGTCAACTTGTTGATTTTTCACATCCAATCCTTTTCCTTCATCAGTCTGAGGCATTTCACTCATCTCAAGTCATTCTCCCCCACCATGTTCTATGTTCATCTGTAGCACTGCCGAGTTTCATTTCAGTTTCCTGGTATGTTTGATCTTTTCTCTAATTGGCATTTTATTAGTATTTCTGCCAATACTCAAAGTTCTTACATACATTCAGTCCTTTTTACACTATTTACAGCTTTTATTTTATTTTATTTTTTTGGTGAGGAAGATTAGCCCTGAGCTAACATCTGTTGCCACTCCTCTTCTTTTTGCTTGAGGAAGATCGGCCCTGGGCTAACAGCCGTGCCTATTTTCCTCTACTTTATAAGCGGGACACCTGCCACAGCATGGTTTTATAAGTGGTGCATGTGTCCGTGTGCCCGGGATCCGAATCTGTGAACCCTGGGCCACCAAAGCAGAGTGCGCACACTTAACCACTACACCACCGGACTGGTCCCTACTTACAGCTTTTACACCTTAACTAAGTAAACAATGCTCAAAACACACACAACTATTTAAGCAAATACATGCTCAGAAGTCCACATAATTCTTACAAACTTGCATACACTGTGTTCAGGTCAAGAAGGTATTGTATTTCAACATTATACATAGTTCAATTTTAATTTCAAAGATATTAAGCAAATAAAGGTATGGAAATACAGGTAATTCTTAGTCTCCACTAATTCCAGTCACCTGTCAGTGCCAACATCTGTCAATTACAGGCATGTCTGCTGCTGATCACTGATGCTTTCACATTCACTGGTGGAAGTAATCACAGAAAAATCATGCTCAGACGAACTTTAAGAAAACTTAGCTCGTGAGAGATTCCTATGCACCCTCTCCTATCCTCCCTCCCTACTCCCTAACACCCGCCTCTTCAGCCCATTAGAGGGAAGGGAGTCACCCCTGAACCTGGAGAGCTGCTTTCGAAAACACTGGCCTGTTGGACAACCTCCAACTGCCCTACCCACATCTCCCAGCAACATAGTGTACAGGCACTGACATCCACTTCTACGAATTTATAGTGAAATCTGGGTACATAGTTTAGCTACAATAATTCATTTTTTTATGATAGCCAAAATTTAGGAACAACTTAGATCTAACAACAGGGGGACTAATAAGCAGTTGTATTTTCTAACCTCTTGTATTTTCACAACACAAAATATTGTGAAATATCATGAGGATATTAAAAGTGATGTTGCAAAAGTATTTAATTTTATAAAACGTGTTTATAATATGCTATTTTATGAAAACAACAAATTATAACAATATGTGCAAGATGATTATAATTAGGAAAAATATATGTAAAGTCATAGGGGCAAAAAAAGAACTGGAAGGTTATTTCTAAAACGTGAATAATGGTTGTACTGGATAGTGGGATGAGTGGTTTTATTTTTCCATAGTGTTTTTCTATATTTTTCAAATTTCCTATAATAAATAAAGGCTACTTTTATAATTTAAAAAACATCATATATACTTAACAAGTCCTCCAATTTCTTACTGTGCCATTTTTCTGAGGATACTGTAATTACCACACATTATGGCATTTCCAATGGGTCTTTTACATGCAATAATTTAAAAATTAGACATTATCTGTTTATGTAGATCGATATTTTCATCTTAAGTAACCTTGCAACCTGGCATGCTTACTCTGACTTTGAGTGCAGTGTACGGGATTTCGGCCTTCTCGAGCTGTCTGCCTACCTGACAGCAGGATTCGAAGGAAGCTGCCCCTTTCCTGATCACTGGGAGTGAAGGTCTGGCTGCATCAGGGTGTATTTCAGGCTGGTCTCCTTTGCATACTTTTTCCTCTGGTCTCTGTAGCTGCCTGGGCAACATGGATGAGGGAAACCAGAGGAGGCACGGAACACTCAGAAGGGTCCCTTCTCCCTAAGCACAAGTCCCTGCACCACTCTCAAAGCTATAAACGCCATCATTTGACATTTAGTTTCTTGTTTCTTGGGTCCTGCAGATATTTCTATTAAAATAGTTTGTTTCCTAAAAGTAGCTTTAAGACATTCTCCTTGAAGCCTAGTATGATGACGACTCTTATTTACCGCATGACCATTATATGCCAAGCACACTACATATGTTACCTTACTGAATCCTCACAGCAACTCTGAGAGGCAGATATTATTATCCTCATTTCACACATTGGGACTCTGAAGGTTGGGAGGGTGAAGGAACTTGCCCAAAATCATAAAGGTAAGAAGTAGGAAGGGGGAAATGAAACCCAAGGGTCTTTGGCTCAAAAGCCTGTGTGTTTTAAACATTTCTTCCTCTTGCAAACTATAAATTACTGGCCAATTATAAAGAGGCCATAGTTTATACCATAAGTATAGATTTTTGTAGATTTGTGGATTCATTTGGGTTCTGAATCACTTAACTTGTGGTTTCTATAAATTCAAAAGGAAAATGATCTGAAATAATTTATTTTAATGAAATCCACACATACTAAATATCCCATGCTATGGCTGTGTCCTGCCTGGGTCCTTATGAAGACAGGATCACCTTATCTTTCCATCCATCCAGGAAGATTCCCTCCCCATCTTTCCTTAAGAATATTCCTATGTATGCCCAGTTTTGTCAGTAACTGAAATTTTGAGTGTCATCCCTGCTCTTCCATAAAAGCTAACGAACAATCTGGAAATCCACTTCTGAACCTTGCACAGAACTGATAGGTCTTGACTTTGGGGAAGGTAGGGTGGTTAAGCTGTAGATGAGACTGGAGATCTAAACCCAAATGGAAAACTGCCTCTTACAAATCTCAATTTCTCTCCTAATTCTCGCCTGTTGAACAGTGGATAAGATATCTCACAGAGCAAGACTATTTCACACGTTTTCCCCCGAAAAAGGCAGATTGATAACTTTAGGCCATACTGTGCAACGAGAGGCAGGGTGCATATGAGAAGCAATATAGCCCGGTGATTAAAGGCATGGATTTTGGGCCAGATTGCCTTGGTCTAGTCCTGGCCAACTTAGTTGTATGACTTTGGGCTAACCTACTTAACCTCTGTTTCTTCATCTGTAAAACGGGGATCATAATAGCACCTACTTTATAGGCCTGTCTGAGAAGTCAATAAGTTAGTAGTTGTAAAGCAGTGAGAACAGTGTCTGACACATGAATAGTGTTATTTAAATGTCAGCTATCATCACCATCCTCCACATCTGGATTGTAATAAGAGATCATAAGAACAGAACAGGGCCTACTATGTGCAAGGTGCTGTGCAAGGCCTTTTATAGAGATCATCTCATTTACTCTTCACCACCCTAGGATGTAAAGAGTATGAATTCCATTTTACAGAGGAAGAAACTGTGACTCACAGAGGCTAATAACGTGCTCAAACATCCCATGGGAAGTGGTGGAACTAGGATTCATACCCAGGATTGCCCAGGCATGCACTCTCTCTATTACATGTGAACCACAGAGCCTCATTCATATCAAATTCTTAATAAAGTCTATTGATGATAATCAAGATTATGACAACCCAGACCTACTATATATCAAACTATAGTTTCTATCAAATGCTTGTTTAATTTTTAGGCAGCTGACATGGGAGGTAAGAAAAAATAGCAGCTAAAGGCCATTTAAAAAAGATAAGCTGTGAGGTCAGTTTCTATTAATATACTTTTACCAAAGAAATGATTATATAAAATATTACAAGCTCTTTCACAATGAACAGGACATAGTTCTCAAGGCAACATCCACCCTTTGGAGAGAGGTTTTAAAATGTCACAGCTGTGCATGAAGCCACATGACCTCTCCTTCACAGCAGAGGGGAACACAAAAGGAAGATTCTGGGAAGCAGTTACTCCGCAGCGACAAGAAAACCTGCCTGGGCATTCCAATGATGTATTTATTGCAGTAATACCATGTCACTGAATGGTCTAGGAACAAAAATACTGCTCTGGGCACTTTGGGCGGGTTCCAA